CGGGGCGCGGACCCGGCACAGGCCGCGGGACTCGGGCCCTCAGCGCCTGGGCAGGCGGCCGGGGCTGGGGAGCGTCGCGCAAGAGCCGCGGGCGGCCGGCTCCGCGGACATGGAGGGTAGGAGGGGAGGCGAGACGCGGTCAGCGCGCCGGGCCCACTGGCCCCCAGGACGCCTGGCACCCTTCCTGGCAGCGGCGACCCGGAAGGCAGGAGCGTCCTTTTCCTTCAGCCACAACTGCAAAAACAGCCACAGTCCCTACTTGTCGCACTCAGGACCGCCCCCCAGCCCCCAGTCGCCTATAGAAATAGAGCTAGACCAAAAAGAGGGCGCAAGCAGCGGAAGGAGCCAATCAGATCCCCAAGAGGCGCGGCGGCCGCTGACCTCTTAAAGAGACAGCACGCAGGCACTGGGGCACGAGAAGCCGTGGCGGGGAAGCGAAGTTGCGCTTCTCACCCGGAAGGCGGCCCGGATCGCGGACCCAGGAGCAGAGGACGCTGCCACCTCTCGGCCCCCACGCCTGCCGGCTGTCAGCAGCTGTCAACGGACCAGCTCGCTCTAGCCAGCGCTCTTCCTCCTGCCCGGGCTGCGGCCTGACCGTTCAGGGAGGAGCCTCCGCGGACCGCCCCCTCGCGTGCCACCGCCCCAGGCGCCCCGCAGCGGCAGTCCGGCCGGGTGACCTCTGATCACCTGGGTGAGGAAGGGAGGATCGGGACAACCCCTTCCCCGGAACGACGCGTTTCCACCAGCGTGCCCCGCCGCCTGGATGTCCACCATCAAAGTGCCCTGGCATTATTGAGCACCGTCCAGGTTTCAGGCACTAATTTTCACGACAACCGTGCAGGACGGTTATGATTAGTCGCATTTTACAGAGAAGGAGTCTGAGCCTTAGAGAGGTTAAATAACTTGCCCAAAGCAAACAACTGGGAAGTGACAAAGCCAAGACGCCCGAGTTTGAATTGCCCCTCCCCCATCTCTAACGTCAACAATTCAGGCAACTTCCACTGGGAAGCCTTCCCTGATTGCCCCGTCCTTGCTCCTCCTGACATCTATGCTGTGTTCACGCCTAGCCCTTCTCCTGCTAGCACTCCATGGTCTGGCCCCTCCTGCCTCTAGGTCCTCATCTCCCACCCACCCCCTCCTCATTCAGCATGCTCAAGCCACACTGGTTTCTGTTTCTCTTAAATATACCAAGCTTGTTCCTGCCTGCTGGTCTCCGTGTCTGTCCCCTGCCCGGCTGCTCCTTGTCACGTGACCTCCTCCTTGACACCCTAGCTGAAGTACCTGTCCAGTCTCTGTCACATAATGCCCTTTTATTTCCTTCAGAGCACCATCACTCTCTAACCTGATTATATTCATTTACTAGCTTCCTAGTTAGTCATCAGCCTCCCCCTACTAGAATGTCAGTGTCATGAGGACAGAGTCATGCTTGTCACATTCCCTGCAATGTCCTGAGGCTTAGTGCCTGGTGCAAATTGTAGACACCTGCTTATCACAGTAACCCCAAGATACACACCCTGTGATGACACAGTTGCTTCACACTTGGGCTGGAATGAGACTGACTCCTGCTCTAAAAAGGGGAAGGTTAGGAAGTAACCACCTGTGACCATCTGAGACTTGGTTTATCTGGGACTTTCCCAGCCTGGACCGTGGTCAAGGTGCAGTTTCTGTACTACCTAGAAGAGGCTGGGCTCCAGCCTGATGTGTGCCTGCATGAATTGGCCGTGGGGAGTCAGGATCAGCTCCTAGAGTTAGTTTCTGCCAGGAAGAATCACCCCTGCTCACATTCAGTTGGCTTAAACAAGTCACAGGCCACTCCTTTTTCTTGTTTTGTTTTTTTGGTTTTTTTGTGTGTGTGAGGAAGATCAGCCCTGAGCTAACATCCATGCCAATCCTCCTCTTTTTTTTTTTTGCTGAGGAAGACCGGCCCTGGGCTAACATCTGTGCCCACCTTCCTCCACTTTTTATGGGACGCCGCCACAGCATGGCCTGACAAGCGGTGCATCGGTGCACGCCTGGGATCCGAACCCGGGCCACCAGCAGCGGAGTATGCACACTTAACTGCTACGCCACAGGGCCGGCCCCATCACAGGCCACTCCTAACCTCCAGGGACAGGACACTTCCCTCCTACCATGTGCTGAGGAGGAGGAGAAATGCAGAATCTGTGACCAGGCTGAGTGATCACCCTTCATCTTTATTTTCATGTTTTTTGAGACAGTACAGACTTCCTAGGGGGGAAAAAGTTGGCTATTACTATTGCAATGCACAATTCTGCATTTTCTACTCTGAGTTTTGGGCCCCACATGTAGCCTTCTGTGGGATTTCATTTGTAGAATAACTGAGGGTATCTACTTCACCCCTCCCCTTCAAGGCAGGGCAGTGACTTATTCACTGCAGTATCCCTTACACACAGGACAGAGTGTGGCATCAGCCAAGTTCAATGAATGGTAGTTTAATAAACACAAGTTCTGTTCTTTGCCCTACACCAGGCTCGGGGTGGCCATCCTCTCTAGGCCATGCTGACAACAGGAGATGCTGCTACAGAACTGGGGATCCCAAAGTAATAGAGATGAGATGGCAGTGCTCAGCCGTGAGAAGCAAAGTGGGTACAATCGTCATGCAACCATCGAGGTCAAAGGAGCAGCCAGGAAGGTGGAATAGGTCACTGGATGGACATAGTCAGTAGGCGGCAGAACGCCAACACTGGTTCCTTTGTCTGGGTGATGCGAGTTTTCACAGAGGTGAAGGTCAAGTAAAAGCCCCTGAAATGTCCTCTCCCCCCACCTGCCTCAGCCAAGATAGTAAATAAAAAACAATATCACATACCAGGGAAAACAGCAGAGATCAGGGCCTCCCTCGAAGACCTAAAGCATATGGGGAGGTGGACCCCACCGTATCCCTATTTAATTCATCAGTCTGGCCTTTAAAACATACAGAGAATAGGAGCAGGTTGCTGCAAACCCAACCAAGTAGTAGCCCAATGGCAGCTGCTGTGTTGCTGTCACTGCTAGCACAGATCAACGTGGCTCAGGTAGCAGTGGGCCGCCTGCGATGACTGTCCCTATCAGGATGCCACCCCTATCATTCACAGGGAGGGACAGCAGTTTACATTTATGGTCTTGCCCCAGGCCTACGGTCACTCTCTCACCCTCTGTCACAGTATACATAGTCTGAAGGGCCCTGGCCATCTGAACGTTCTGCAGAACAGTGCATCGGTTTATTATATTGATGACATCCTGCTAATCTTGCTGGACGAACAAGAAGGAACAAGCAAATGAAGACCTTGATGAGACATACGTGCTCCAAAGGGTGGAAGATGAACTCTATGAAGATTTGGGGGCTTGGCACATCGGTGAAGTTTATAGGGGTCTAGTGGTCTGGGGCATAGCAGGACATCCTCTCCAAAGTAAAGGACAAATGACTGCATCTTGCATACCCCATCACAAGAAAGGAAGCACAACGCCAGAATCCACTCTTTGGGTTCTGGAGGCAGCATATTCCACACCTGGAAATGCTGCTCTGACCCATACATCTCTGGGTGACATAAAAGGCTTCCAGCTTTGAGTGAGGCTCACAGCAGGAAAGGCTGTCCCAGAGGCCACAGGCCCCTCACACCCTATGATATGAGAAGCCCTCTAATGGTGGGAGGAAAAGATGCTGTGTAAAAGTCAGAGCAAGCCCTCCTGGGAAAACCACAATGTCGCTCCCCAGGGTTCTAGAGCGAGGCTAGGCCTTCTACAGCAAACTACACACAAATCCAAAGAACAACTCCACCAGGCTACTGGACCCTGGCAGAGATGACTAGGGAGCATCAAGTGACCAGGAGGCCAGAGCTGCCCCTCATGAACTGGGTTCTATCAGGCCCAGTTGTAAATTCGTGTGGGCCCAGCAGCCACCCACAGCATGACGGTAAGCGATCCATGGCAGATCCACGTCATCTACCACTGTCACACTAGTGCCTCTCCCTCATTCACACCTATGGCTGACTGGCAGGTCCCTGAGACAGCTGACAAAGGAGGGGGAGGCTGAGCTTGCTCAGAGATGAGCTGGCTCATTCTGTGGGTCAGAGGCAAGGCCTGGAGGGGAAGCAGCCGTGTGGAGACCTCAGGGATGAAAGCCACAGGCTGCAGATGGTGGAAGCAGAAGTTGGGAAGCAGACTCATCCTTGATGATGTTCAGTGCTGGATGCCTACTGATGTGAGAAAAATCCCCAGGGTGACGTGCACCCAGAGTGGGTCCAACATGGCTATTGGCTGGGGTCCTGGCTTCCTCACTCCGTGGGCCTGTCACAGGGCTGGTTGTGTGTCCTCAGGACATGGCAGCTGGCTTCCCTCAGAGTGAGTGATCTGGTGAATCACCTAATCACTTAATCTGAAGTGACATCTAATCACTTCTGTCGGATGCTATTGGTCACACAGACCAACTCTGGTACAATGGGAAGGAGATTATAAAAAGGTGTGAATACCAGAGGGCAGGGAACATTGGGGGCCATAAGAGAGGCTGCACCCCACCCTCTTCCACCTTACCATTTCTCCTAGCCTCCCTCCCATTCGCATTTAAACATGCCCAGGTATGTCATCTCAAAAACAGTCCTTCCCCAGCCCCGCATCCCTCCCCAGTCACTGCCCCACCTCCCACAGCTCAGCTTCTCCACAGATTTGTCCACAGTCACCTTCTCACTCCCTGCACCCGACTCCTCAACACACTCCAACGTGGTGTCCGACACCAATCCCGCACAGCCAGAGACACCAATGGCCCCTAGTCCTTACCAAACTTGACCTCTTGGCAGCTTGTCACCTGCTGACCCCATCTACCCTGGTGGGCAGCCTCTGAGATGGCCCCCAATGAACCCCTGCCCTTGATGTGGGCTAGACCTAGCGACTTGCTTCTAACAAACAGAAGATGGTAAAAGTGAGGGGATGTCACTTCTGGCCCATGGCTTCTGGCTTGTATGGCCTCTCTCACCCTCATTCACTTCCTCTGAGCAAAGCCAGCTGCCATGTTGTGAGCTGCGCTATGGCGAGGCCCACATAACAAGGAACTGAGGAGACCCCCACCCAAGAGCCAGTGTGAAACGGTCCTTGTCCAGCAGCCTGGGGGGAACTGAATCCCGCCCCATGAGGGAGCTTGGAAGCAGGTCCTCCTTGAGCTGAGCATTCAAATGGGCCTGCAGCCCGGGCCAGCACCTTGAGTGCAGCACTGTGCAAGACAGTGAGGCAGAGGCGCCCACCTGAACCAGGCCTGGATCCTGGACCCACAGACACGGAGAGAATACATGGTAACGGTTTGAAACTGCTAGATTGCAGGATAATTTGCTAGGCGACAATGGCTAATTAATACAACCCCACCCACAATCTCTGCTCTGGCTTCTCCCTCAGCAGCTCCCAGCATCCCAGCTCCTGCCCAGCATCCTTTGTTGGTGCCGCTTAACTGTTGGGGTTTTCCGGGTCCTAGGCCTAGGCCTTCTCTTCTCACTGAACTCGCTCTCTGGATTAGCCAGCCACTCCCCAGTGGCGGCTGCAGCCCAAACTTCCTCTCGAGCCCCAGACCTGAACATCCAGGATATCTCTGGCCTCTTGGACATCTCTACTCAGGGGCCACATTCAACACAGCCAGAAACAAACTCACCC